CCCCCAGGTCCTTTTCCACCAGGCAGCTTTCCAGCCACTCTTCCCCAAGCCTGTAGCGCTGCATGGGGTTGTTGTGGCCGAAGTGCAGGACCCGGCACTTGGCCTTTGTTGAACCTATACAGTTGGCCTGGGCCCATCGATCCAGCCTGTCCAGGTCCCTCTGCAGAGCAGAGGATCTGGCAGGACGTCTAAGCTGAGCCATCAGTCAATGTGAGGCGGTAGTTGGCTCTGAGGAGACGCAAGGCAGAGGCAGGACAGTGTCACCATGCAAGGTGACGGTGCTGAGATCCCCTGGGGTGGCAGAGTTGCTTGGCTGTGTGTAAACGGGGTGTCCGTGGGCTTACAAAGCCAAAATAAGCCCGCTGTGTGGAGACGCGTCATCCCACCAGCTCCCAGCGCCTCTGGCACCTTGATTCGATGCACAGGGTGACACCAGGCAGGAGGGCCCCTTCTCCGAACCTCTGAGGGAGTGCGTCTCCTGACAAATCCTTTTCCTGGCACGTGGCCCGTGCCCAGGAACACCGGTACCTCCATCTACATCTGGTGACCACGCTTCTCTACTCGCAGGACCGAGATCTTCTCAGGCAAGACGGTGACTCATGAGGACATCAAGTATGAGCAGGCATGCATCCTCTACAACCTGGGTAAGGGCCTGGGAGACCGGCTGCCCCCTTGGTCTGCCCTGGGCGCGAGGGATGTCCCCCCCTCTCTGCCCAGCCTTTGCTCTGAGCTCCGTGTCAGCCTTCCTCGGAGCAGCCAGGCAGCAGCACGGCCCACCTGGTCCCACCAGCAGCCGTGGCTCAGCCTGGTTGTGCGTCTTCCCCTCCTCTGTGCTGCCTGCGGGGCTGGGTGCTCAGCGTCGGAGTTGCACAAGAGGTTGACTTTGGCTTTTGTCGGAAGCCTCGTCTCTTTTCCTCCTGGTCTGAGCGCATCCTGGTCGTGCGCTGCCCTGCGTCTTGGCCAGAGGTTGCACCGAGGAGGCTGACAACATCAGGTTGCGGCGTTACAGATGCCCTTTCTGGCACGGTGACAGCCGCAGTCGGGCTTTGTCCAGCTCATCCAGCATCCCATCTCCTCAAAAGCAGCAAATGGGCGTAAAAACATCCAATCTAACACTTGTTCCCCGACCCTTGCTCTCCAGCCATGGTCAATCACAGCTCAGAGTGGGGCTTTTCTTGGCAGCCCCAAAGGGCAGGTGACGCTCAGCCCCTGGACACTTAATGCAGCTGAAAACACTCCCATCCCTGGCATCGCGGCTGCCCCTTTCCCTGCAGCTCGGGAGCTGACTGCGCTCTCCCAGCCGACCCTGCGCAGGTGTAGCTTAAACCCCACGCACTGCAGGGCCACACGCTGCACAGCAGGAGCTGATGTGGTGCCCAGGCCCCTTTCGAGAGGCGGCTGCTCCCTGAAGTCGGTAGAAACGTGTCTGTTAAACCAGGAGGGCGTTAGATACTCACTTTTTAGTATTTAGGGTTTGTTTCCAGCCTGGGACTTTCCTGTGCTGAATGACTTGCGTGCGCAGTCTTTTCGCAGGGCACTGCAGCGTGTGGGTGCCCTCCGAGATGGGTGCCCCGAGTGCCACGGTTCCCTGCTGGCACAGAGAGCCAGCTGGGTGTCTGTGGCCGACTTGCCGCAGATTTAGGCTTCCCTGGTACGGGTGCCCTGAGTGCCACGGTTCTCTGCTGGCACAGAGAGCCAGCTGGGTGCTGCTGGGTGTCTGTGTCTGACTTGCCGCAGATTTAGGCTTCCCTGGTACAAGACCCCCAGTCTCCGGGAGCGGTGAGTGGGGCTGGCAGGGCGTGCTCGTCCTGCTGAGCCACCCTCCTCTTTCCGCAGGTGCGCTGCACTCCATGCTGGGCGCCATGGACAAGAGAGTGTCCGAGGAGGTAACGATCCCCGTGGCTCCTCCCTCAATGACTTTTCTCTCCCGTGTGGTTAACAGCCACGAACCGGTAGCGTTGAGGACTTCTCCTCTGTAACCTGGGTGGTTACAAGCGTCTCTACGTCAGCCACCAGCTCTAGATGTCTGCTGTGACCTAGTATCGCTGTAAAGTGTTACGAGGAGCCACCTCCTTGTGATTGTGTCCCTCCCTGCCCCATCGGTGCCGTCCCTGCTCCAGCGAGGCTCTGCCTGCTTGCTGGCCGGGCTGACCTTCCTCCCACCCTCAGCACGTAGGGCCAGGAGGGGAGAGATCTGACGCAGCTTGGGGCGTGCACGGCCAGGGGAAAGCACCGAGCTGTTTAGAGCCCTCTGAGCCCCAGGAACTCGCCCCAGGCTTGTGGCGGCTGCTTTTTGGGGTCTCGGAGGAGGCAGGGAACACCTAACCCCTGCTGAGCTGGGGTTTACCACCCTAACGCCCCGTGTGAAGGGAGGTCACTGCTTTTCCAGTCTTGCCGAGTCTCCACAAATGCCTCGCGTCCGGCAGCACGTGCCTACGGACATTGGCTGGCTTGGCATGCGTGCAAGAGGGCTGCGCACGCCTGACACGCGTTCTCCCGTCCTCTCAGGGCATGAAGGTTTCCTGCACCCATTTCCAGTGCGCCGCCGGGGCGTTTACGTACCTGCGGGATCACTTCCCCCACTCCTACAGTGTAGACATGAGCCACCAGATCCTCAACCTCAACATCAACCTCATGCTGGTAGGAGCTGGGTTCTGCCTCCGCTGGGGCACTGGTCACACTGGGATGGCTCCTCGCACACCTCGAGGGCAGCTGCCGCTCGACCGGGAGAGGGGTGTTCGTAGGGTTGGGTGCTCCTCGCTGAGTCCAAGCGCTTGGAGCCGGCTCTTGGGGCATCCCTTGGGGCTGGTGTTTACTGTGCTCCACTGACCCCTCAAGAAAGGGGCTGTAGCTGGTGGGTTCTGCCAGGGGTCGGGGCCTGGCGCTGGCTTGGGTGCAGGGGGGTGTCCCAAGGTGTAGGAGAAACCGAGTGTTCCCCTCTTGTCTTCGGCAGGGCCAGGCGCAGGAGTGTCTCCTGGAGAAGTCCATGCTGGACAACAGGAAGAGTTTCCTCGTGGCCCGGATCAGCGCCCAGGTGAGCTCCTGGGCAGTCTCTGCTGTGCTGAACTCTGGCCGCTTCTGCCTCAGCGCTTGCTGTTCCCAGCACCGCGGAGCGACGCGTGGGATCGGGAGCTCGGGGAGGGTGTCCCAGACCCTGCACAGCGTCAGTGGTGCTCAAACAGTGGTACGGGGTGCTGCCATCGCCTCGGGCTGTGAGCACAACCACCAGCTCCTCAAAGGAGAGCGTAAGATACTCTAGAGGGACGGGACGCCATCCAGAGGGAGCTTGACAGGCTGGAGAGGTGGGCCCGTGTGAACCTCATGAGGTTTAACACGGCCAAGTGCAAGGTCCTGCACCCAGGTCGGGGCAACCCCCGCTATCACTACAGGCTGGGGGTGAAGGGGTTGAGAGCAGCCCTGCCGAGAAGGACTTGGGGGTACTGG